CCCCAAAACCCCAAAACCCCAAAACCCCAAAACCCCAAAACCCCAAAACCCCTTTAATTTTATTAAAATTTGAAAACTCAAATTAATATCCCATTATTCAAATTTCTCAAGGATTGTAATAAGCCCTTGGAGATCTTTTTGTGTCTCCTTCTGCGGCTCATCCTTCAAATGGGAAGTATTATGCTCTATCATGCTTACCTCTTGGCTATTTATATTTAGTAGGTCTAAATGGGAGCTATTTTGGTTCCGATCCTCAGTTTCAATAGTATTATGAACTCCAAGCACATGTGAAACGAGGTTACTACTTCCTGGAAGATTTAAGGGACTCTAATAGATATTATCTTGCAAGCTTACATTAAGAGGGTTGTCACGACTCACTAAATACTCATGGAGATTTTTATTCTTATGCCTTAACTTGTTATGCAAATCTAACCTGTAATCCTCCTCAGGATTATTTTCATCTACAAGGATTATTTTTGGACTAATCGCTTCATATTTGATATGATGGCTTCTAGTATCCTCTACTTTCTTCTTAGGATTTGTAGAAGGATTCTGAGTGGATTTATAATATCAATTTTGCTGAAACTTTTTCTTAATAGTTCCTTTAAAATCCTTAATCGAGCTGCCCTGAGTGGAAGCACCAGAGCAATTATTGGCAGGCACGAAGCTGCTTTTTCTCTTATTATTTTTAAGTAATTTCTTGTTGAGTAAAGAGCTTCTTGCCTTCTCTATTTTGTGTTTCTTTCTTGCTCTAGATCTAGAGCTCCTCTCAGAACTTGAGTTTCCACTTTTATCATCAGTGCCATATGCACAACCAGGGATGTTGAAGTACGAGTTTGTCTTAGCATGAGCAGTTGACTTTATCTGTGTCAAAATTGTGTTCCTCGATTTCTTTGTAGGTCCCTAGAACAATGAGATGAGATAACACTGGTACCTTTCAACTTGGGAGTAGATTAAGAAACTTCTCACAACTCTTTTGGTTCGTCTGTACTTTGAAAAGCGCTTCATTTCGAGAGTTTTTAGATTTTTGTGTCATTCTGCTCAAAAATGGACTCATGCTAGGGAGATCCTGATTTTTCAAGAAAGATCTGTTATTCGGAGTCATGCCAGAATGCAAGAAGTCTCCTAATTTGAGACTTGCTTTTGACTGAAGCTGGTAATTATTTGATGAAGAAGATTTATATAACTCATTACGTGATTTTGAAGTAGGTCTTTTCATTGAGTTTTTACCAAAATACCCATTTAGCCCAGGGTGTTTGCTTCGAGATGATCTTCTCTTTGGCCCCCTTTTATTTTTTGAACCTCTGGAGCTACTTCTGTGGTGTTTGTCTGAAGCAGTAGATCTTTTGCTCTTATGCTTAATTTTCTTCTTTAAAGATGTCTCACTAATTTTACTCAAAATATTGTCCTTGTTAATACTCTTGTTCGCAGAAGTTTGACCTGAGTAAGCAATATCAGAAGTCTTGGAGTCAGGTCCTGGTCCAAAGGTAAACTGGCTTGTTTGTGCAGAATTAGAGTACTCATTCGTGTACATATTTGAAGTATATTGATTACTGTCGTAAACATATATTTTAGAGTTCTTTGAACTTGCTTTCTGACTACATCTTACACTTCCACCTCTGTTACTACTCAAGGAGTTGCGATCGTTCTTACAAGATAAGCCACTACTCGAATCAATCGATCGCTTAGGTCCATGAGACTCAACAAGTGTGTTAAACACAGGGAGATTGGATAAAGGTTCAGAAGAAAGATAATTGGAATAGGTTGCCTTATTATCTCTAGCTGATCTATGATTTTTATTTTTATAAGTCTTATATTCTTCATTCTTATTCCTTCATGAATAAGACTGAGGCTCGATACTTCGCATAGACTTGCAAGATTTCAAATTTTTCTTAGATTTTAAGTTATCATAAACTCGAGAAGAAGAGGGGTACTCTCTCCCGTTCCTAGCTTGTCTTGATGTAGGACTCTGACTATCATGTCCCATTTCATGGATCACAATCTGTAATTTTCCTTTCTGGTTCTTCAGAGCTCTCTTAGAGCTCGTAGTTCCATCTACACTTTATGTAAATTACTAAGTTGAATAGATATTAAAGTCAACAATAAGGGTGAATGTCTTACTTTTACTTGGCCGAGATGATTTCCTCCCAGTACTTTCAGCTTCTTTTCTAACTCGTCTTGTGATTAGTGGAGAGCTAGACATTTTCTTATCTTTATTTATATTTGCCTGATCTTCGATTAAAAACTCCTATCTTATTCCCTCTTGTTCAAGTGATAGGAAGACCTTTTTGAGGAATTGGGTTATTTTTAGATGTCTCGATTGTTATGTTATTTACATGCCTTATTCATGTGTCTTAAATTATTTAATCATTTATTATAATCTTCTTTGATTAAGCTGAGGCTTGAGTTCGCACCAGATCGTTTCTTATTTCCGAGAGATTTATGCTTATTTTATCTTAATTTCATTGTTAGATTTCTATAATTAAAATCACCCAAAATTCAACTTCCAGACCTCCAAATTTCAAAATCTAAAAACCTCCTATAACTAGAGCCCAATCCAACCTCTCTCCCTCTCAGAAACACTCCACTACCTCTCATCTAAATCTCTTATTTTCAAATATCTCTTCACTATTCTTCCAACCCCTCTCTTCTTTAAACCCAATTTAAACCTCTTAAAGCACAAAATTTCCCTTTTTAATATGCCAAACCTTCTGATTAGAAATCTTCTGATTCATTATAGAATCAACATGATACTTTGAAGAATGGGGGTGACTGAATACAGACTCCATGCTAAAAATAATTTCAAAATTATTAAAAGGATTTGGGGTTTTGGGGTTTTGGGGTTTTGGGGTTTTGGGG